GGGGGAGGAGGAGGAGGGGGAGGAGGAGGAGGATGACGAAGGGAAACACTGATGAGAGTGCAGGGAAGGGATGAGTTGGATTTGGTGTTGGTGTTAGTGTGGATGTTGAGGTTGTTGTTGATGCTGGTGTTGTCAATGACGATGATGCTGGTGATTATGCTGATGGTGATGCTGTTGATGCTGATGATGATGATGATGATGATGATGATGATGCTGATGGCGATGGCGATGGTAATGGTGATGGTGATGACGATGACGGTGATGCTGCTACTGATGGTAATGCTGCTGCTGCTGATGGTGCTGTTGTTGATGATAGCAGTGACGATGTCGATGATGATGCTGATGAGGATGCCAATGATGATGCTGATGCCGCTGATGATGTTTCTGGTGATGTGGATGGCGATGCTGCTGATGATTGTGGTACTGGGGGCGATGATGATGATGTTGATGATGATGATGATGACGATGCTGATGATGATGCTGACTGTGATGATGATGCGTATGTTGATTGTGCGGATGATTATAACGATGATGTTTATGAGGGGTTGGTGGTGATGATACTGCTTATAATGTGGTTGCCGTTGTTGATGCTAGTGTTGTTGTTTGTGGTTGGAATGTTGTTGGTCGTATTGTTGCTGATGGGGCTGGCTATGCTGATGCTGATGCGGATGATGATGCTGCTGCTGACGAGGATTCTGATGCTGATGCTGATGCTGTTGATGCTGATGCTGATGATGATGGTGCTGCTGGTGATGATGATGCTGATGCTGATGAGGTTGCTGCTGATGATTACGATGATGATGCTGATGATGCTGCGGATGATGATGCTACTGATGCTGCTGATGCTGCTGCTGATGGTGATGATGATGACGATCATGATGATGCTGCTGATGCTGATGCGGATGGTGATGATGATGATGACGATGATGGTGATGATGATGGCGACCCTGAGCTGGAGGAGGATGAGGAGGAGGGTAATGAGGAGGAGGAGGAGGAGGAGAAGGAGGATAAGGAGGGGGAGGACGAGGACGAGGAGGAGGATGAGAAGGAGGAGGGTATTTTTTTGATGAGGATGAGGTTTATGATGGGGATGGCGATGAGGTTTGGGAGCAGGAGGAGGGGGATGACGACGAGGAGGAGGAGGAGGAACAAGAGGAAACATAATAGCATGAAGAGGACGGGGAGGAGGAGGACAAGGAGGAGGATGTTGAGGAAGAGATGGAACCAGGCCTGTGGCGATTCGACAGACAGCCGCTGGAATACTAATTCTATTTCGGTTCCAGGAGCCTTCCCCTGGGCCCCAGGACTGTCGTCCGAAGACGGCCTTGGACGAAGAACGGGCCTTGCAGAGGGGATCGAGATGTGCAAGGGGCTGGCGGCCCGAACAAATCGAGTCGTTGGCGGTATGGGGAGCAGGGCCACATATTGATATGCCCCCAGGTCCTCCTCCACCTTGGGAGTGTTCTGGTCTTGGGGGCGAACTTCAATGATGAAGCGCGCGCAATCTGCGCCTGCGAGAATGCAGAAAAGGAGGAGGGACAGAAAGAGGAGACGGACAAAAACGAGGAGGAGGAGAGGAAGGACATTCGGGCAGGAAGCTCGGCCCTTGTGCTGCTGTGAAAGCGAGGCGTTATCACATCGAAACCGTGACTGACTGGGACCGGGACCCACTTGGGCGATGCTGATACCAGTGCCAAAGTGTACCAGCGATGAACAATGGGACAGGCAAGGGACGCAACAGGAAGCTGGAGATATACGCGGTTGGATCCACATGTCGCCGCGCCATTTGTTCTCGACGCGCCCACTTGGGCGACGCCGACACCACGGCAAACCCACCGCAAGCCCTGCGTCCCGCTCCCGAAGTAGACGACGCTGGCACCAGGCAAACCCACGGCAAACCCGCCGCGCCCGAGGCGGAGTTTGCCCTGGTGGCCGCGGCGCCCTTCCCAAGACGGACGGCCGCGCGTCGGAACAAACGGCGCGGCGACGCGTGCGGAACACGCGGAGGCGGCTCGCTGGACACACGCGGCAGAGTCTTGGATCCAGCTACGCGAGGGCCGCATGCTGAAAGGGGGTGGGGCCTCATGTGTCTCCGGCTCTCGCCCAGGCGGGCCACGCCGATGGTATCCAACTTCCTGCTAGACGGACCAGCCTGTCTGGGCGGGCACCCCGCGCACAGTGCGCGGGAGCCCCAGGTGCCGAGCCGTGACGCAGCGATCCCCGGCGGTCGGGACCAGCAGGCCCGTCATGGAAAGCACTGGCTGGGCACCGTGACGCAGCTGGACGGGCCCTCCCCTCTCCCCTCTGTGCCCCTGCCTGCCGCTCCCTCCCTGCCCGTCCCTGTAATTGCCTCCTCCCGCACTTCCCCCCTCGCCTCTCCCGCCGAGCCCTTCGGCCTCTCCCCCCCGCCCTCGCCCTCGCCCCCCTCCCCGTGGCTCCGGAAGGCGGCCACACAAGGGTTACTTTTGCAAGGCCGCTACAAAGGTGACAGCCGTGCCATTTTCGGCGGCCAGCCGCGGATGCCAAGGCGAACAATGAAACACAGTGGAGACAATGAACACACAACGAGCACCAATGAACTAACAACAGAGCACGGCGTTTTCGTATAGGTTTTCGCTTGCCTGGATTGAGTTCCGTTGTGATTTTGCATGTTTTCCTTGATGTTTTGTTTTGGTTGCTGCGTTTTGATCTGCTAGTAGTGGTTCTCGTTTCTTCACTTGTTCTCGCAGTGTTTTATCGTTGTTCGTTCTTTCTTAGCCGTGCTGTCATTGTTTGCATTGTTAATCGTTGTTTTCATGGTTTTCCGTGGCAGCTGCCAGAATCGTCCCCAAATATCTGTTCGTAAGGTCGCCGCACAAGGATCGTTGTTGTAAGCCCGCCCCAAGCATACATGTTAAGTGCCACGCCGCCGCACATGTAATCTGTTTGCAACGCTGCCGCAACAAGACAATCCGGGAGTAACGCCACTGGTTTGGAAAGTGCTTAATGTGTAGCGATCTCAACAAGAAGTCCTTAGTAAGCTCGCTACAAAGAAGGAAACCTTGTGTAAGGCCGCTACAATGCAATCCTTTCGTAAGGCCGCCACATAAGGATCCCTTTTGCAATGCCGCTGCACAAATATCTCATTTGTGAAAGCCGTGCCATTTTCGGCAGCCAGCCGCGAAAGCCAAGGAAAACAATGAACGCAAGGAACACACCGCGAAAAACAATGGAACAACGCACATTCAAGGTGTTTTCATGGGTTGCCGCTTGCTTGTATTGGTGTTCGTTATGTTTTCATGTGTCTGTTCGTGTTATGTGTCATTCGTTTGTTGCTGTGCTCCGTCCATGTTTAATAGGTGTGTTTTTTGGTGCCTCCTTCTGAAGTTCTCTGAGTTCTTGCTATTCAATGTGTTTTCCATCTTTTCCATGTGTTTGTCAAGTCCTGTTCTGTTTCCATGACGGCTTGTCATTGTTTTCAGTGCTTTTTCATGTTTTTGAATGTTTTTAGTTTTTTTCCTGGTTTTCTGAGGGGGCCGCCGGAATTGGTGAGGCAGTCACACAATGAATGTCACACAATGAATGAATGTGTAAAGCCGCCGCAGCAGAAGCCCATTTGCAAGGCCGCCCCACGAGGATTTTTTCTTGACACGCTGCCGAATGGCATCCCTTTGCAACGCCGCCACGAAAACAAGTCCTTCTGTATCGCCGTCGCAAAACGAGTCCTTTCGTAACGTCGCTATGCAGGGATTCGTTTGTATTGAGGTAATGCAGCTGTTGTGGGGTCATCTTGGGATCATCTCAGGATGCCCGCGTGCGCGCCGCGCAGCGGGCGTACTGGCACCAAGACGAGGAATTATTTCTGAAAGCACGATCAGCATTTTTGGCTAACCGGCTGAACTGGCACTGAGCCTCAGAGCTTCTTGACAGCAGGGGGCCTTTCATATTCATACATGCATACATAATTGTGCACTCACATATACATGCAGCAGGTATGTATGTAAATTATGTAAAGGTGCATATATTTGCAACTTGTGCTCAGCGAAAGACCTGAGCACCAGATGTATGCATCGGCGTGTTGACCCTCGTGTCCATTCAGAGCCCCCTGCTGCTTTCGCATTGGCCACTCTGAATCCGTCCGGGCCTACAAACTTCGCGAACTAATCATATCAGGTTTGTTTTCTCTTTGGGCCTGCGGTGGCCGTTTGCGTGTCCGAGGACCATCAGCCGATTGCCCACGATGGCAAGCCAGTGTTGGGGACGAGATCGGGAGGTCAGCGGCCCACGTTGAGAAAATAATCACGACTTCGGATGCATGGGCCCCGCTCGCTGTCAGCATAGACGCGTTCTGTTAGATCTCTCCACGCTGCCGCTTGCCAGCGTCAGGCGCTGAAGACTCTGGCCTGGATCATCCTGGTGCTCTTCATCATCTGCTACATTGGTGGGGTGCAGGGCACAGGAGATCGTACGAATAGGGCAAGCCTCAACGGCTCAGTGGGACGAATTATGCTTGAGCTCGTTTGGCGTAGGACTGGCAGTCATCATACAGCGAGTCGAGCGATACTCTGCTCCGTCTGCAATTTTATCTTTCACTGACAAGGGCAGCACTTTCTTCCACTGTCGTGCCCCTGCAGCTTGATCAGGAACAGCCTTTGATCCGGCTGCAGATGTCTGCAGTGGGTCTCAAATGGTGTGTGTGTATGCGGCACACAAGCACACGCACACCACGCACATACACGCACGCACGCACGCACGCACACAGATACAGACATAGCCACAGACATAGCAACTGACACAGACACAGACTCGGACACAGACGCAGTCACAGACACAGACAGACACAGACACAGACAGGCACAGACACCGACACAGGCACAGTCACAGACACAAACACAGGCACAGGCACAGACAGGCACAGACACAGACACAGGCACAGATACAGATACAGACACAGACATAGACACAGACGCAGACACTGACACCGACACAGGCGCAGACGCAGACACTGACACCGACACAGACACAGACACAGACACAGACAGGCACAGACACAGACACAGACACAAACGCATATACATACACAGACACTGAAACAGACGCAGACGCTGACACCAGCACAGACAATGACACAGACGCAGACGCAGACGCAGACACAGACACAGGCACAGGCACAGACGCACACACAGACAGTCACACACACACGCACACAGCCAAACACACACACACACACACACGCACGCGCGCACGGACGCGCACGCGTACGCGCCAGCGCGCACACGCGCGCGCACGCACGCACTCACGCACGCAAGCGCACGCACACATGCTCTCACCATCGCACGCGGACGCGCACGTACGCGCACACGCACTCGCACACGCATGCGAACGCGCACACGCACGCGCAAACGCGCACGCGCACGCGCACCCACACGCACACGCACACGCATACGCACGTGCACACACACGTGCATACGCCCACGCACACTCACACACACACACACACGAACACACACACACACACACGCACGCAAGCGCGCACACACACCCGCACACACACAGACATACGCACACACACACCCACACACAAACACACACACACATACACTTACGCAAACACTTGCACGCACTTGCACACACACTTGCACGCACTTGCACGCACACGCACGCACACACACACGCACACACGCACGCACGCACGCACGCACGCGCCCCCCCCACCCACACACACATATTCCACACAGCCACACAAATCACAACACACAGACACACACACGCACGCACGCACGCGCGCGCGCGCACGCACGCACGCACGCACGCACGCGCGTACGCACGCACGCACGCACGCACGCACACACACATGCACACACACGCACGCACGCACGCACGTTTGCACGCAAGCACCCACGCACGTTTGCACCCACGCACGCACGCACGCGCGCACGCTTACAGACACACACACACACACACGCACGCACGCACGCACACACACACACACACACGCACACAAACGGACAAGAACACAAGCACACAAACACACAAACACATACAACCACACAAACACACGCACACACACATGCATGCACGCGCGCACGCTTACAAACACACACACGCGCACGCACACACACACACACGCACACAAAGGGACAGCAGCATAACCACTCACACGCACGTACGCACACACAACACGCAAACGCACACACACACGCACGTACGCACACACAACAACACACACACATCACACACACCACACACCACACACACCACACACATACGCACATACACACGTACACATACACACGTACATACATACATACATACATACATACATACATCCATACATACATATATACATACATACATACATGCATGCATGTATACATACATACATACATACACACGTACAATCACATACATATACATATACATATACATATATATATGTATACATATATATACATACATACATACATGCATGCATGCATGCATGCATGCATGCATGCATGCATGCATGCATGCATACATACATACATACATACATACATACATACATACACATATATACATACATGCATACATACATACGTACGTACGTACATACATACATACATACGCACACTCACACTCGCACTCTTACTCTCTCTCTCTCATTCTTTTGGCGTCGCTGCCCCACGCGCGGCGACGTGGCGCAGAAAGTTGAGTGCAGGCAGCAGTGAAGCGCGCGCGTCTACGCCCGGCCGAGCTCTCAGAGACCGCTGAGGGTCCCGCAGTCGACAGCAGCCAGAACCACCTGGGCCTGGATTGCGGGCAGGGGCGATGAGTAGATGAAACCTCGGTGAGGGTGGTAGGTGACATAAGCCAGCCGGGACTGGAAGGCGGGGAGAGCGAGTAAGTCAGTGTGGACCGACGCGGGAGTGCGTCAAGGAGCGACGGGCAGAGCGAGCCGAAGGCGGCGGAGCCGCAAACAGTCGCAGACCGAAGGGGCCGCGAAAGCCGGCAGAGCCGGGCAGCGCGCTGGAAACGGCGGCGGCCGAGAGGGCGGTCCCTGAAGGAGCGGCCTGGGCCTCCCCCCAGAAGGGGGGGTGCCTGGCAGGGAGAGGGGAGGGGGAAAGGGAAGGGAGAGGGAAGCGAAGGCGGACAGAAGGGGGAGAGCGGCGAGGCACCCCAGGACCGCAGCTGCAGCACAGGCTCCGCAGCGGGCAGTCCCAGCCGGGAAGGGAACGAGGAAGCCGCGCCGCCCCGGGCAGGGGCGGGGCAAGCAGCGGCCAGATCCTCGGGGGAGGACCGGGAGCGCGCGCGGGTGCACCACTCGAGGCAGAGTTGGCCGCCGCGAAAGGTGAGGCACGGAAAATCGAAAGAGAAGGGAGGAGCCCGTTCACTGCCGCCGAACCTCCCCATCGAACCTGGGAGGGCATGGGCTGGTCCTGCGAGGGCAGGGGCCACGGGAGGGTTCCCATGGGGGGCCCCAGCAGGGCTCAGCGGTGAGAAGCGGGTGCGCATTGCCCCCAGGGCTATCAGTGCCTTGGGAGCCAGGGCGTCCTGGCCAGGCCCAGTGGGGCACGGGAGTGGGCGGTGACCCCACGTTTTGGCATCGCTCGGACGTGTGCATTTGTCCTTTGGTGAGGACCATCGAGGAGCATCCTTGACCATTGGGCGAAAAAGCCACGCACGAAACCGAACAAAAAAACACGGGGAATGGACGTCCGAGCGATGCCGATATGTGGGAAGCCGCTCGCGGAGGCAAGTCCTGGCCTTGTAGCAGGAGGCGCCGGTGCCCAGGCAGGCCAGGCAGGGGGGGCGCAGCGGGAGGCACCGCCGCCTCCGCGAGCGGTGCTGGTGGCAGGGGCCGGAGGGGGGCTGCTTCCTCGGGGTAGGTCCCTCCTCGCCTGAGGGCCGCGCCCTCCGCCGGGGGGCCACGCGGTGGAGAATCGCCAGCCAGCAGGGTGAGGTCGAGGGAGGCGAAGGAAGCCTCGAGCTCCGCACCAGAGGAGGCGTGTAGCGGCGGATAGTTGGTGCCGTCGATGCTGGGTACGCCCTTGGGCCAGCATCCCGCCCACGTGCGCCACTCGATCGCAGCAAAGCGGTCAGCAGGGATGGTGCCTCGGCAGCGGAGGGCGACTTTGTTTGCAAGGGGCCGCTGTATCTGAGCGCTCGCAGTATCGCCTGCGGATCCCGAAGAGGTGCCTGGCCTGCTGGCGACAAGGCGCGTGCTGGGAGGCGGCGAGAAGGGGTGCGCGGAGGCACGCTGCCATGAGGGCGGTCGGCTGACGTGGCGTGGGGGATGGCCAGGGCAGGACCAGGCGAGGAGGGTGAAGGCGGTATGGGAGTGACGCCTGGGTTGACCCCCGTGCCTTCAGCCGGGGCGGCCCCGGGCAGGCCCCCAGGGGCGGGTTGTCGACCAGCGCGCTCCCCCCCCCCCAACCGGATGATCTGGGTGGTCGCCAGAAAAGCACGACAACGATCTCCTGGTCGCGTCGCGCGGGCGGTGCAGGGTCTTGCTCATCAGCCGCAGTGCTGCGGGGAGTGCGGCCGGGATCTGGCCGAGAGGGAACTCGGCAAGCACGGGCCGCAAGCAGGCAGAGGGAGGCGCGAGTCCCAAGCATAGCTGGCGGGAGCGCGCTGGGCTCAGAAGGTATTTTGGAGTCGGCGTGGCCTCGGCGTCTGGCTTGGGGAACAACTAATGCCAGGAGGGGAAAAACACACACCGACACAATTCGTCGTCGATCCCCTCGGGAGATATGGGAAAATATGGGAAGTGGGGGGGAAGACAGAAACCCAGAAGATATAGGAAAGCATGGGGGATCCTTGTATTTGTGTGTATTGAGTTGTGTGTCCGGGGGCCCCTTCCTGAATGACATGAAGGTGAACGTTCGGAGAGCCGCGCGCACCTCCGGACATGTGTGCTCGTGTCAGTGTTTGCGCTCCGCGACCGAAGGTGCGGAGGGTCTCCTCCTCCTCCTCCTCCTCCTCCTCCTCCTCCTCCTCTAGAGTTATGATGTTCCAGCCTACCTTAGCCTGGACCACCAGGAAGAATTTCGAGCGCCCGGCCAAGTACCCAACAACTCAAGGGTTTTCACGTGCCGGGCCCTGGGAGACACTCTTTTTCGACGCTGCTTCGACACTCTTTCAACACTCTTTCGACACTTTTCCGGGTGCTCGAAATTATTTCTGGGAGGCGATCCCTAAGTAGGATGGGAACAACATAACTCTAGAGCCAACGGGCGCAGGTTCCATCTTCACGACCATCATGATTGGCCGGAACGACAGAGACTTCAACGCGTACTACAAGGACACCCGTTCTGATCTTCTCGTTGGTGTCTCTGGTCAGGGAAGGTCGCACATTGGAACCTGGTTGGATCATGGCTTTTTGGTTTGTTTGTTTCTGGGCTCCGTTCTTCGGCCTGCAACTGTCTTACAAGTGTGTTTAGTGCGACTGGCCGAATGAAGCTGTTTTATAGTGCAGTGCACGATCGTTCGCTCTTTCGCGCGAGAGAGAGAGCGAGGAGAGAGAGAGAGAGAGAGAGAGAGGGCGAGAGCTTCACCCAGTGGATTGTTGGAGAGTCGTCGTTCCATGCCATTCGGCGATGTCGCTGCATCGTTGATGGGCTCTGCAGGGCGCACGCTCACGCACTGCTCATCTTGCAAATGCCTTTCCAGATCAGCTCAAACTCTTTTCTGCAGTGTCCAACGCTACTTTCATGCAGAAAGTGCGCCGCATGTTCTTTGTACTTTGGGCCGTCCATGCATGCATCCATTGAGGAATGCGTCTTTCATAGCTGATCGGTGCATTAAGTGCGCGCATCTTCCAGAGCTAATCTTGAAGACGCAAGGTCTGGCGCCTGCGATTCGAACGCGCCTCCGTTTTCGAAATTACGTTTTTGCCACTTCCCGCCGTTTCAGCCCAGTTCCTGTCGGCCAACTTGAGGAAATTCGTCGAACGTGCCGCATCCAAATTGGATTGCCCCACGGCTGAGTAAGACAGGATTCGCACGTGGTTCCCAGGGCCGCATTTTGCCTTCCCCTCGAGCACGCCCCTCTCGTGCACGCACGGCGCCACACCCTCAATTCAAGACATGCGTACCGTTCTCGTCAGTTTGGGGGATCGATGTAATGGACGTGTTGGAATTGCTGGCGGGGACTCTGATCTGCGAAATCATTTGTGTGGTTTGTTCCCCTCTCTCCTGCAGCATTCTGTTGTGCCTCGTTTGCCACGTCTCTGGCCCGAGGCTTTCCTATCGCGGGCTGGCCAGCGCGGCGCTCGTGGTGCTTCGTGCTAGGGGTTCGTGTCTCCTTCCTTCGTTCATGCCGGCGGCAACGCGCGTCAACGCCCCGCGCCCCAAGCACCCCGCGGCCCGCCCACATGCGGCACGCTCACACCTTGGAGGTGGGTGGAGAGCCCCCACTGGCCACGACTCCCAGAGGGGGAGGCTCCAGCCGGGGCGGCTGAATGGGGGCCCACGGGAGACCTGCGCGACCAGAGGGGGCAGGAAGGGGGGCACGGCACAGCCGGTCCCGCGGGCAAGACTCCCGGGCGAGGGGCCTCGAGCCGGGCAGGCCAGGTTGCTCGTCAGGAGACCTGCTCACCCCGGGGAAGGGGCGGCATGCAGTTCCCCCGGGGCCCCAGTGCACCGCCCGACACCGAGGCACCCCTTCCGGGGGCAGGGGTTCGTCTCTCCTCTCCCGCTCGCCCTTCCTTTCCTCCCTCACTCCTTACCTTCCGCCCTGGCCCGTGTCCGGGGCCATCGTGCTTTTTCGCTACGCTTGGCGCCGTGATGGGCTCCCGTTGCGTGTTTTGTGCGAGCGGCCGGTAGCCGTCGGGGTGCGTACACAATGGGTTTGTCCAGTCTCGCCTCTCCTCTTGCCCCCGCGGGAGGGCTGGTCATCCCTGGCCGGAGGTCTGGGCCCTCCTCCTCCTCCTGCTTCTCCTCCTCCCTCTTTCCTCCTCTTCTTTCCTCCTCCTCCTCCTCCTCCTCCTCCTCCTCCTCCTCCTCCAGGTGTTCGACCTCCCCCCCCTCGCCCTCTTTCCTTTCTGCTTGTCCTTCCCGTCCTCCTGCCGTCGGGCCTCTCCGCTGGCTTCAGGGACTCCATCTCTCTGCCCTTCGAGCCGCGGGGGGCTTGTCCCGACCGCCTTGCAAAGTGAGCTGTGGGAGCCTGGCTTGGGTTTGCCGCGTGTGTAAACAAGTTGTTGTGCCTCGCTTCCATTTCCGAGCCCATTGTTTCGCACGGCCTACGAGCTGCCATTATTCGTTGGCTTGGGGACTGGCTCCAAAGCCCCTCCATTTTGGCGGCGTTGGTAGCGCCGAGGATGCCGCGCGCGTGTGGGCACATGTGCGGGAGAGAATCCTTCGCCTTATACTGTGTCACGCCTGTACGCGTACGCACAGTGGCACGCAGTCTCAGCGCATTTTCACTACTGCTTCTCTCGTACCCTAGTCTTCTGCGTTGCTGCCCGTGGATGCTGAATAGTGCGAACTTCTAGCATCTGCCCCCAGTCTATATTTGCATACACATATATATTTATATATAATCCATGCAGGGCGCTGTCGTGAAAGACATGATCTCCCGCATGGAGGAAGCAGTCGAATCGAGTTGCGGTGCCGGCCCCGAAAGAAATGTTCCTTGTGCACAAACATTGGCTTGTGGATGAGGCCGCATGGTGTGAAGCTGCTTCACGCTCATATGTGGCACCTTACGTATCTTGGTACGCGTAGTTTACCAATTTGCCGTTCTCTGCGCCCCAGCATTGCAGGAGTCAGGCAGGTGGGACCATGAGTACTACTTCAAGACAATTGGGCGTTCACTGATATCTTTTCTGCAGGCGCTGTCGTGTCTTTGTATTTTGCCGGACCAGTGAGTCGAGAGTGGTTGTGAACCTGTGGGAAAAGCGGATCCGGAATTGAGCCATGTTGCCCAAGTGTCGTGTATACAAATCGTGGCACGCGCATTTTACAAGCGTGTGCAATCACTACATGTAGTGAGTTGCGTTGCGGACGCCGCGTAGTTTGAAGCATCAATATGTTTAGAGTTGCCGAGGTGGCGCTTGCATAGCAGTTCTGTGAGCATGAATGCAATGCTGTTGGCCACTCCGTGCTGATTCCTGGAGAACGGGGCCGCCTGGAAACGGGGCAGATCGTCACGCTGGACAACTGGGCGGAACTGATTGTTCGCGATGTTGTGCAGGAGCCCCGCTTTGCTCATTCCGATTGCTTTGGATTCTGTTCGCCCCCTTGGGAGGAGGAGGAGGAGGAGGAGGAGGAAGAGGAGGAGGAGGAGCCCAGCTTTGCTCCTTCTGATTGTTTTGGATTCTGTTCGCCCTCTCGACCTCCGAGCCGCGCTCCGGCCATCGCTCGCCTGCCTCTCCAGTGCGAAGCGAGCAGCAGAGTTCTGCATACAGCTCGGCATCGAGAGCAAGTCGCCGCGTGTCAAGCACGGCGGAGGAGGAGAAGGAGGAGGTGGAGGAGGAGGAGGAGGAGGTGGAGGAGGAGGAGGAGGACGGGATTACGTGGATTACAGCCTTCGCGCAGCGA